TTTCTTGGAATTTTCATGATTTTAGTTGCTTGCTGTTTTTTTGCTTGGAATTTGAGCACAAGTCGCTGCGATTTTCAATGATCATTGTTGTGCGTGGCAGTTTTTCGGACGGCTTGGTTTTGGGGGAGAGGGGGGGCCGGGCTCATTGTTTTCGGTCGCCTAATCAGGCGCGGAGCTTGGAGTGAAGGAGCGCGAAGATCCAGAGCTAGTAGGAGCATAGGGGTGGTCTTGAGTGCAAAGGTTGCTTTGTAGGGTCCTTTAGGTTTCCTCTGGCAGCCTTGCATGTGTCACTGCGCAGGAGTGATTGCATCTGTAGGTAGGAAACCAAGCCCCAAGCCTAAGCCCTCATACCCAAGAACTCCTTTTTTGCTCAGGTGGTAGTCAGGTTTGTTTTCGCTGCACAGGACGTTTTGCAAGGGTTGCTCGCTGTTAGGAGTGCTATGGCAGGTAGGTAAAAGCCGAAGCCTAGGCAGCCCCTTCCGGGAAGCCTCGGGCCCTTCCTCTTGAATCAGGTGCTTTGTGGTCATCTCCAAAGTTCCTCAAGTTGGATCCTCAGCGCGTTTGCAAGGAGGTTTCTTGCTAGAGCTGGACAGGAGTGCGTGTGTTCTGCGACAGACTGGAACTTTTGAAGCATGTGTAAGTGATTTAGCTCTCAAAGGCACCCTTGCTGCGTGATAGCGCGCGTTCGATTGCTGGCATGGCGGAGGGCAGGACACCAATCAAAAAGACTCTTCACGAGGTTAGAAAGCAGTTAGAGACTGGTAAGAGTCTGCGTGGTGTGGAGCTCACAGCTGAGCAGATATTGAAGCTTCGCTCGAAAGAAGCGTCTCTTCTGGAGAAGCGTGAGCAGCGTGAGGAGGTCCTAGGATGCGTCGGTAAACAGGCCGACCGCGTCATCGACGCTATCACCAAGCACATCGACCAGAAGCTCGAGGAGGCCAGCCAGAGGCCTCAGCGCCAGAAGAAGATGGATGACACTGAGAACTCGACCAAGGCTGCGGCCGGAAGGCCGAGGCCGATCTTCGCAAAAAGCGCAAGGAGGAGGAGTTGGAGCTCAAGCTCGCCAAGAAGCAGAAGCTCGATGAGGCCAAATAAGAAGCAGGAGGCCGCTGCCGTGGCCGAGCTGAAGGCTCTTTCTGGGGGTAAGAAATCTCGCAAACCTGAGAAGGACGTGGCCGAGACTGCCCCCAGGTTGAGCAGAGAGCTGAGCTTGCGAAGGTCGCAGCCGAGGGAAACGACGAGAGCGCCGCGGAACAGGACACCATCAAGGACGCAGCCAACTCCTGCTTGAAGAAGATTGGCGACGCTACCGATTCCGACGAGGAAAAGGCCGAGACTGATGAGAAGAACGACTCCGACAAGGAGAAGATCACCGAGTCCGTTGAGGGCGCTGAGGCGAAGCCAACGCTTTGGCAGGTGCTGCCACGATGGTGAGATAGCGGCTGTTTCGCGTCGTTGTAATGTGAGGATCTGGGGGAGTGATGGGGAACGAGATCCACAGAACCATATGGTTCGCTTTTTGCCACACACAGGGTTTGGAAGGTTAAGCGTGGTGCTCTCCTACAGGCGAGAGCTGAATGATTGCTGATCTACCATGTTGAGCAAAACAGTTGTTGCGATGCCGTAGAACCACACTGAGTGCGTCACGTTGGTCTGGCAGTGCATTGCAATCCTTGAACATGTCTGATGGTGAATCGCTTGTTCCCACTCCTATCTTCCACGTCAGCCGTGCCAGGAGCTCTGAGTGATGCAAGACACCCCTCTCAAACCCCGCCCCCGTAGTGACCCGTAGTGACCGTAGTGACCCGTAGTGACCCCAGATACTCTGCGTCTATAGTATCGATCCCTGCTAAGTACTCCTAGTACGTTGTATCTGTTAGGGCTCATCGATATGATGTATGCGGAGTTCCGTAGTGACCGTAGTGACCCGTGACCCGTAGTGACCCGTAGTGCCCTTCTTGAGTGCTGAAAAATTCCATCAGAGATCATTGATTGCTCGGGTTTGTTTCCGTAGGCCCTATCCCCTAAGATTATCCCAGGCAGCCCGCGCCACTTCAATCGCCCAGGTCCGATAGCTCTTCTTCAAAGACTTTCCTCGATTTCGCCGCGGCCTGTGAGTGCTTCCATGGAGGGTTTGAGGGTTGCAGGGTAGTTTAGGATTTGGCCCTACCCCCGCGGTTACCCCTATAGGTTGCCTTGCGTCCGCCTTGCGTAGGATCTGACTGAGTGAGCCCTTATGCGCGTCCCCCTCCCCTCCTGTTTGCCCAGGTCCTGGACTTCATCTTCACATTCGTAGCCTCTGCCTCTGTGTGATTTTCATTTTGGAGGGGCTTGAACCCTAGCCCCCGGTTACCCCTAGGTTACCTTTGTGCCGCCCCTCGTAAGATCTGCTTGAGCCCTTTTTTCCACTCCTTCCTTTGCGCTTGAACCCCATGTGGCCCTCTCAGGTTTCCATCTTCATCTTCGTCGGCATCAGTGCCGGTCCTTGGAGTGAGTGCGTGCTTGTCAAGCAATTGTAGGATCACAGAAGTGCAGGTTTGTCGCAATTTCTCATGTTTTCAGGTCTTCCCATCCTTCTCACCTTTTCCAAGCTGGGACCTCTGTGGGAATGCTTGAGTGGGATCTATCTCCTTTTGCATGTTTTGTGGCAACTCCGCGCAAGCTTGTTGAGCATCGCAGCATGACCTTTCAGGATGAGTGGCGCTCAGCAGTTGTGATGGGGTTTTTGATGTTGCGCAGGCTTTCTGAGAGCATTCTTGAAGTTGCGTTGACAGGTCTACTCGGACATGTGCTAGTAGAAAAGATAGTTAAGCGAATTCATTC